TTTATATTTGTCTTTGTGTTCTGTTGAATAAATTTTTTGGTTTTGTATTTTCTTCTAAAATTTTGTTTTACCTTTCCTGCTTTTATTTGCTATTTATGTAGAATAGATTTGGTTGCATTGTGTGAGATGAGAGTTCTGCCCTTTTTTTCTAAATACACATGTCCAAGTGACATAGAACCATTTATTAAAAAGACTTGTCATAAATGTGGTCACTAATATGAGTCTGTTTCTGGACACTGGATTTTGTTCCATTGGTATATTTATGTGTTTTTGCTTCAGTACTATGCTGCCTAAATTATTGTAGGTTTACAATAAATTTAACATTTGGTAGTATAAATCCCCTAACTTTGTTCTTCCTCTTAATATTACCTTGGTTATTCTTGGCCTGTCATATTTCCATATGAATTTTCAAATTAATTTATCCATAAAAATAAAAGAGAATAAAATCATGTGGAAATTGCTTTGAATCTATGGAACAATTTAGGGTAAATTTTATCTTTGTAAAATGGAGTTTTCCATGCCTTGAATTTGGTATATTATTCCATTTTGGTAGGTCATCTTTATGTTCCCCCAGTATTTTCATTGAGCATCTTGCACATCTTTCATTGAATTTACTTTATAGATATCTGTTGCTTTTGAATGATAATTTTATTATTTTTATTTTAGCATCTTTTATTAGTATTTATAATGGGAGGATCACCTCTTGGTCTTTGATCATTTCATGCTGTGACATTCATTCTAGATGTTGGACATCATGAATAAAAACAAATAATAGCAGCAATAACAACAACACTCCATAGGATCCAGATTCCTTTTTCCAGAGAGTTGATTTTGTTCCTGGCTTGGTGTTATGGGGCATTCATTCAGTTAGGGTATAACTGGGTCAAGGCTGGGTTACAGTTTGGTTAATACCCTTTGTTTTCCCTGTTTGGGAGGCACCTTCCTCAGGGTTTTCAGTTGAGAGCCTCTGTGTTGACTGCCACCACTCTCATCGGTTATACAATCTCAAGAGTTTAAAAAAAAAAAAAATTCCTACTCTTGAATTCCAGAAGTCTTCATCTTAGCTTTCTCACCTTTTTATATCTCATTGTTTCAGAATTCTGCAAATGTCCGGAGGTGAGCCTTGTGTCTTTAGTTTTGTCATTCTAAACTCCATGAGACTAAATGCTCAGCTCTTCTCTGTTCAATTGTGGCCCTCTCTCTGATTCAGGCCCAGTTTTTCCATCTTTTTGCTTCTTCACAGAACCAGCAAGTGCCCTAAGGAAAGAAAGGCTATAGTTTATCAGCTCACTTTCCAGCAGTTATCCCTTCTTCAGATTCCTAGTTTCTCCCATACTCATTGCCTCAGCAGCTCTACGATGCCTTTAAACAGATGGTGCTTTTCTTGCATTTTATCAAGCTGTTCTAGTTTTCTTGGCATGAGCATTGATCTGTAACAAAGTGTTCCATCCTAACCAGAGAGGGAAATTTGCCTTTCTAAACTCCACCGGTTGTTCAAGTTCCTATAAAGGCACTTTGAAACTCATTACTAGTCAGGGACAAAAAAAAAAAGAAAACCTTTAGAGCAGTAGTATTTCAGATTTGATCATAAAAAAAAGAAAATGGGTGATATATTGAAAAACTCTTTCATGGCCTACAGATTACACAGCAGAAGTGTATCTACCACTTAGCCATTTCCTTAAACCTGGGGTATTGACTATATAAAATGCTCCTGTGTAAGTAAGCTCAGTGTAGAACCCTAAGAGTTAAGCTCTTATCTATCACTAACAATATGAAGTTTAATATTTAAATCTTGCAGTCCTAGTTTTATTTAAATAATTATTTGTTTTATTTTATTTTTTATATTAAGAGAGAGTGTCTGGCTGTGTTGCCCAGGCTGGCACTGAACTCCGGGGCATAACTGATTCTTCTCCCTCGGCCTGTTGAGTAGATGAACTATAGGCACATGCCAGTGCCCCATCTTAAACTTATTATTTAATTTTAATGGTTATCTTTTATCTTCTGTCTCAGTTTTATTTTGTAAGTCAACATTTGCTTATATTCTACTATATGGTTTCTTTTTGTCCCATGTGCACTATACACAACATGGTTTATTTATTTTCTTTTGATAACAGTTTAATTTCTAATACGGAATACTATGAAGGAGTTTTATCCTCTTCAGGATTCGGACAAAATATGTATAAAATTTATGATGTTAACCTTTTTTTGTCACAAATAATATTTTTAAATTTGTATTAAGCAAGTTATATTTTCTCTAAATTTTAAACATTGCACATTTTAAAGAAGATATATGGCTAGAAGTTACTTTTTGTTGTATTAGGACAAATATATCCTAAATACATATTGATATTAACATGTCAAAAGCTAATCTATAATGTAAATTAGTGAGAAAATAATGTATACTTACACCTTTATTTTATGTGATGATCCACTTGAGTTAGTTAAAAATAATCATCCATTTTTCTTCTCGATTTGACAAAAGCCAACCAAATATCTTTTCTCTCAATGTAGGAAAAAATTATTCCATATTTATTACGACTGAGACAAATTAAGGATGAAACTCTTCAGGCTGCAGTAAGAGAAATTTTGGCTTTAATTGGCTATGTGGATCCAGTGAAAGGGAGGGGCATCCGAATTCTCACAATTGATGGTGGAGGAACGAGGTAAGGATAGAAAAATAACTTTTAAATACTTCCTGGGCTATTTTATCTTCTTTTAAAAACCTCAGACTCAATTCAGCCTTAGGCATCAAAAAAACTGATTTCATGCATGTCAGTCACTAATCAATAAAGTGCGTGGCTGGGGATGTGGCTCAAGTCTCAAGTGCTAGCACGCTCGCCTGGCATGTGTGCGGCCTGGGTTCGATCCTTAGCACCACATACAAACAAAGATGCTGTGTCCACCGGAAACTAAAAATAATAATAATAATAATAATAATAAATATTAAAATTATTTTAAAAAAGTGATTGCTAGAAAAGGAGTCTATGTCAATAATTCCCTGGTTTCCTGTCTTCCCTTACACATGCTAGTTCTGGTGTTATACAAGAAATAAATGCATTCTTTATTCAGAAAGAGATAATTTCATTACCAATCTTCAATCTTACTACTTTAATCTTAGACTTTGTAAGATTTCTAGTGACTTCCTTTTGGCAGAATTAATGCACAATTTGAAACTCTAAATTTTATTATGTGGTGACTAAGTGCTTTTTTTGTTCTAGGAATGACTTGGCCTACATTGTGTATTGGGAATAGAACTTTTCATTGATTTTTTTTTTTTTTTTTTGTATATTGTCCCAATGTTGAGAATTGTCCATATGGTATATATGCCCTAAGTTGACCTATACTTCCTGGGCTATTTTATCTTCTCACATTCCTTTATGAAGTATGTCAGGCCTTTGGCAAAGATTTAAAAATGAATGAACAAATTCAGCAGCATTAGTGAATATACTTTAATGCAGAGGTTTGTCCTAAATTTACTGAATTAAAAAAAAAAACAAATGAATGAAAGGGAGCTAAAAAATATGACTGGGCATGGTGGAGCACAACTATAATCCCAGCAGCTTGAAAGGCTGAGATAGGATTGTTAGTTCAAAGCCAACTCAGAGAAAGGCCCTGTCTCTAGATAAAATATTAAAAAAAAAAAAATGGGCTAGTGATGTGACTTAGTCTAAGTTTAGTGCCCCTGGGTTCAATTCCCAGAGGGTGTGGGGGAATCTGTTAAACTATGTAAAACACAAATATATAGAACATAGGTGACCCATTGTACTGATGAAAGAAGAAACCATTGTATGTCATCCCAAAGTTGGTCAGGTGAGGTTTTAAGTATTTTTCAGAGTTGGAGTATTTTAAAAAATATCTTATCCACACATCTTTGTGTTCTAATTCAAATAAATACTAATACACATTTTTAGATGTGCTGCAATACCACAAGTTTGATAACCTTTATTTAGATATTGAATTTTTAAAAATAATCCTAAATGTTTGGATGGGCAATTTTTACTAATGCTGATTTGCATATTAGTTTTCATGTTAGCACATAAACTATAAAAGCAGTTGATAGGATTATTTTATTCAATGACTTGGATTTATTTTCCTTGAAATAGGAATTCTCATTTTGCTTTTGATTTTTTTCCCATAGGGGTGTAGTTGCTCTTCAGACACTGAGGAAATTAGTTGAACTTACTCAGAAGCCAGTTCATCAGCTCTTTGATTATATTTGTGGCGTAAGCACAGGTAATGATTATTAGGTTAAAGATCGTGGTTATATTATGAAATGTTGGGCATTAGTTTCATGTTTGATGTGAATAATTTTTCAGTTTGCCTAATAAACCTGTAAAGATATTTATTTTAAATAAGTTAACATTCAGAAAGATTTTAATGTGCTTTTATAATATGTTTTCAATAAACTACTATAACAAGGGCAGATTATAAATTATTGCTTTATGGTATATTCATTGTAAGGAAAGCAATGAAGCAGAAGGCAGACATTGTACTTAAACCAATAGAAAATTAAAGGTGAATACTTTTTTTTTTCTGTTAGGGGAGTCTCTCAGTTTGAAGATTGCTCCCTTTGTCATTTTTATATGGTTTTTTGAAGGCAGAATTTAAATTGAGAAATCTGAGAATCTGTGTGTTTAAAAAGCTACTTTTAGGACTGGGGATGTGGCTCAAGTGGTAGCATGTTCACCTAGCATGCATGAGGCAGTGTATTCAATTCTCAGCACTACGTAAAAATAAAATAAAGGTATTGTGTCTGCCTAAAACTAAATATATATATATATATTTTTAAAAAGAGCTACTTTTAGCAGGACATTGGGACACATGCCTGTAATTGCCAGTGACTGAGACACGAGGATCACAAGTTCAAGGCTCTCCTGAGCAACTTAGTGAAACCCTGTCTCAAAATTAAAAAATTAAAAATTAAACAGCCAGGGATGTAGCTCAGTGGTAGAGTGCCCCCTGGGTTCAATCCCAAGTACCAAAAAAGAAAAGTTACCTTTAAATATTGCTAGTTGGGTTGGACATGGTGGAGCATTCCCATAATCTCTCTGAAGTCTGAGGCAGGAGTATTTCGAGGTCAAAGACAGCCTTGGCAATTTAGCAAGGCTGTAAACAGTTTAGTGAGACCTGCTCTTAAAAAACAAAACAAAACAAACAAACAAAAAAAAATGAAACACAAAAAAACCAACTTAATAAATAAATAAAGAGCTGGGGACATGATCAGTGGTGAAGTACCCCTGAGTTTAATCCTTAGTAGGAGGGAGAGGCAGGGGATGAGGACCAAGAGGTAGTTGGTATATGTATAGAATTCTTCTATCTTTTTCTTTCATACCCCAAAGCTTTCTCCTCCCTTTTATCTTTATTTAAGGGTTAGGCCAATGAGACACACTAGGTGGCAGTGTTTCCTACCAATTACAACTAGTACATGAAATCAGCTATTTAAAAGGAGATCCCAGAGTGTGATTTCTTTAATTACATTGACTCTAGAACCAACTTGAAAGAGTAGTTGCTTAATGAATTCGTGAGTTATTAAATATACTGTGTTCTATGACTAAAATGAAGTAATTATTGTGAGAAATATCTTTAATAACCATGATATCTTTCTTATATATTTAATATAAAGAAATATTTTTGTATATTTAAAAATTTTTATAATTACCATCTTGAGGTAGATGTATTTTATCATTTTAGGGACCTGGTAAAGCCCTTTACATGTGTTATCACAATACAAGGGGCTTAGGAATTTTAGTTGTTATTTTTTTGCCATTTTACAGGTAAAAAAATATTGGGATTGAGAAGTTAAGGAACTTGTCCCAGGTGACATAGCTAGAATTGACCCAGTGTTAAAGCTAGAATTTAAGCCAGGTCTATGACCCAGGAGTTCTTAAAATTATAAGTGCAGTAACATCAATGCTCATAAAAACTAAGAATTTTTTTTCTTTTAGGAGCCATATTAGCTTTCATGTTGGGATTGTTTCATATGCCCTTGGACGAATGTGAAGAACTTTATCGAAAATTAGGATCAGATGTATTTTCACAAAATGTCATTGTTGGGACAGTCAAAATGAGTTGGAGTCATGCATTCTATGACAGTCAAACATGGGAAAAGATTCTTAAGTAAGTTATAATTCTTTTTAAAAATGTTCTAATTATGTAGGTATATATGCATATATAAGTTTTAAAATACAAAAAATATGAAGAAGACTCATTATTAATACCATTAATTGGAGATAATCACTGTTCCTATTTTAATGAACCACATTGTAGTCATAAATTCTTGGGTTCATGTGTATGAGATTTGCATATTAATGAGAAAATTACCTTTTTAAAAATTTGAGACTATGTTGTACATAGACCACAGTTGCACTCTGTTGTTTCTGAAGTCGTTATTCTAAGCTGTTTAATGATTTTTTTAATTTCTTTACAAATACTATGAATCAAAAAGTATAAGTGTAAAGTAGAAACTTAAAATCAACTGCAATCCTATTGTTCAAAGCTGTAGACCTTGCAATGTATTTCCTTCTAGGTGTTTCCTAGATTGTGTACATGTTTATAAACATTTTGTGTAGCTGACATTACAGTTGTAAATTGATATCTTCCCCCCTTTTTCCAATTTTATTAAAATTTCTTGACACATTTTTAAATATTACATTATACTACATACAAAATGTGACAGTACTGTGATTTCTTAACCATTTCCATATATGATATTTATGGGTATTCAAGACATTTATATTGTTTTTTATTTTTTGTGATTATGAACATTGCTTTGATAGAAAACTTTAAATTTATGTCCATATTTCAGAATATACCAATAGATCAGTTTGTAAGAACATAATTATTGAATCAAGTGTTGATGTCATTTTAAAATATTCATCATTTGGAAATAGAGAATATATAAAGAAAATTACCAGTAATTCTACTAAGATCACATTTCTTTCTAGAATTTTTTACAGAGAGAGAGAGAGAGTGTGAGTGTGTGTGTGTGTGTGTGTGTGTGTGTGTGTGTGTATGTGTGTTTTCATTCCCTTCACAATTTGGGGATGATAATGCACATGTAATTTAATATCTGCATTTTCATTTAGTATTTATCACAGTCTCTTGCGATCTCATTAATATTTTTGAAACATTTTGATGGTGTTCACTCTTCCCTTTAATGAATGTACTATTTTTTTATTTTAAAAATTAGCTATTGAAAAAGAAGGATGCTTAAGATGTCATTATATTTCAAAAAGAAAGTTTCCATGGACATCTTACATCTTTACTTTAGCTTTAAGGAAAATTTCTAGAAGTGCAATTTTGGGTCAGAGGGTATGCATGTTTAAAAAATCTTGACAAGTACATATATATACTTATTTACCAGAATCAATTTGTATTTATCTTAGGAAAATTTATGAACACCCAACAATTTAAAAAAAAGAATTTTTTTTTAAGTTGTAGGTGGGTACAATACCTTATTTTATTTATTTATATGTGGCACTGAGGATCAAACACAGTGCCTCATATGTGTTAGGCGAGCACTCTACCCTGAGCCACAAACCCAGCCTAACACTCAACAATTTAATGTTTAAAATATATCAGTTTGACAGTTTTTGAAACCAGTATTTCAATTGATGTCACTTTGTTTATTAGTGAGTTTCAATATTTTTTTGTTTTTTGACTATTAATTTTGAGGGCAAGGTCTTTGCTTATTTTACTGTCAGGATGTGGCACACTATATTGTATTTATAACCATATATTGAAAAAGTACTTTCTAATTAATCATCTGTTTAATGAAGAAAGTTAAAAAATTTTAATTTAGCCACATTTTTATAATGATTTTAGCCACATTTTTATAATGATTTTTATAAAGTCTTTTCTACCCTGAAAGTAGGTAAATATCTACATTATTTTCTAGTTCTAAGGTTTTATTAAAATTACATTTTTAGGAAAACTGAAATTCATTTTGAGACATATTGTGAGAGGGTCAAACTGTATTATTTTCTCATTAATTTAAATGTCCCGGTACCATTACCAAATAGTTTTCCTTCCTTTTTTTAAAACTGATTTAAAACACTATCTTTATCTGTTTACATGAGAGTATAATGTCCAAGCTTTTTATTTTTCCCTTTGATTTTTTTTAATTCTGTAAATTTAGTTTTGAGCCTTTGTATAAGGTGTTTTTGAATGAAATAATGAATCTCCTTTATTCTTTTTCATAATTCTGTTAACTATTTTCATTTAATTTTCAAAGTGAATTTTTGGTTACCTTTCTCATAAAAATCTTATTAATATTTTAATGGAAGTTAATGTGAATTGTACAGGTTATATTGTGGAATGTTGACATCTTTCCAGTTGTGAAATCGCTCCATCTATTGTTGCAAATATAAAAATGTTACTTATTTTAGGTCTTTTTCATTTACTAGAAAGAAGAACTCCTATCAGTTCTCATGAAATCATAATACTGCTTCTTAAAGATTTTTAAATAAAGATTTAAAATTTTAACATAAAATAATCACTTTACTGTGAAATTCTTTTTCATTTTGTTTCTCATGAATATTCATATTTGCATATTACTATTTCATTTTTGCTTTTTCAGAGACTTCTTTATTTTTAATCATAGCTTTGATAAACTTTTTATCCTTTCTTTGATTTTTCTCTTAACTGTTATAGCAAAACAAACTAATTCTCAAAGTTAGTAGCTTAAAATAATAATGATTTAGTCTCTGATTCTGTGATTTGATTGGGCATTTCTTCTGTGCTTGCCTGTATTCAGTTTTGCTACTGGCAACTGGTAGTTCAGTTAATATGGCTGGAACAGCTGAGTCTCTCTTCACATGGTCATTTCTATCCTGGGCTTCATCTCATCATCTCCATCTCAGCATTCTCAGAGGGCAAGCCTCAATGCATAATCACTTATCAAGTCTTGGTCTTATCCCTTGTTTGCTGAGGTCTCATTGCTTGAAGCTTCTTAAACCAAGTATCTGTGTTGGAAAGGGCAATATATAAGGACATGGATTTGAGGAAATGTGATTCACTGGGGGCACTATTGTTATACTCTACCATACCTATCCACTGGTTCTTTTGTTTGTCATGACTTTTTTAATCTTGCTGTTTATTGAGAACACTTTCGTGTTTGTTTTTTCCTATGATGATGACTTTGTGTTATTTTGTGGGTACTATTTTGATTATAGCATCAGTAGAATCTGAGATTGCTAAGAATTTTTTTCATATGTTGGTCTTTCTGTAATAAGCAATTATCATTCCTTTCTCTTCAAATTTATATTCATAAATCACTAAAGCATTTTAGGTCTTTTAGTAAACCAAGGTTGAAACAACAACAATAATAAAGTTTGAACTTTGCTTGAAAGTGTGAATGCTCCCAGAATTTCTGTTCCGAATATATATCAAGAGTCTGTAGAACAGTAAAATTGAATTGATCTTCATATAGAAGAAACATAGATCAGGTTGGGAAAGATAAGGTTCTTGTTCATTTTGGAAAGTATTACACTAGTACACTGATGTTTATAAAAGCTTGTAAAGGGTAAATCACCAAGCAGTTTATTTATGAGATTTACTAACAGTTGAGAAACGTAAGTGTGATTTGAAAAAACATCATTAGGAAAATACTACTTAGAGGAAGATTGATAAGGCCATAGTATTTGCAAGGCAGAGAGAATAATCTTTAAGACTGAAAAAAGTCTACATTGAAATTAAATTCCCTTGTAATGGAATTGTAAAAATTACTGCCCATTAATTCAAATACCAATTGAGATATTTTTACAAGCAATTTTTATAACATTGGCTCTGTGTTACCCACTAAAGCAAGTTTAATGTCTAAATGTAAATGTCTTGACCTGGTTTTTAGGTAAGTATACTGTATAAACACTTCTGTAGTCTTTTAATTTTACCCTTGGAATTGAACCCAGGGGCACTCTACCATTCAGATAAAACCTTTTGCTCCCATCACTATTTCAAATTTGTATTTTGGGATTGGATCTTGCTAAGTTGCCGAGGCTGGGCTTGAATTTGTGATCCTCCTGCCTCAGCCTTCTGAGTCACTGGGGTTACAGGTGTGCACCCCTATACCTGGCACTCCTGCAGTCTTAACGAAACTTCTATATCCTGGCAGCAGGACCCTGAAAAAAAATAGATTTATTCTGTTTTTATGCCTTTGTTCTATATAGGTACTGGCTTTTAGGATGTTGCCATCATTCAGTATCTCTCTCAAACTACACTCTATCCTATATTTATTTCTTCACCTCAGAACTATACTTACAGTCTGAATCAGGGATTAATAAATCACTGCATATTGTTTCTTGTGCATTAATTGGATTGTAAGCCTCTTAGGGGAAATTGTTGTACTTCTTTTTGTTCCTTATAGTACCTTGAGAAAGCCATCTGCAAATAGTAATTTCATAGTGCATGTTTTGGGCTGGGGATGTGGCTCAGTGGATGTGGCTCTTCTGTTGCTCTTGAACTCTGGTCTTTCATGTTTTCCTTCCTTGTGCAGTTTATCAACTATGTGCCCCTTGTGGCAGCACTGTATTGGGCACTTTGGATGGATTCATAAGCAACCACAGACATGGAGTTTATAGTCTATTCATGCAATAATCACACAGATGAGATATATTTTTTTCTGAAATAAGATATGTGGAACACAGAAATGATTTTCTCTGCTTGGCATGGACAAGGCCCTAGTTTGATCCCCAGCACCGCCAGGAAAAAAAAAAAAAAAGGTGTGTTTTGCTGGGTGTGGTGGCATACATACGCCTATAATCCCAGCAGCTCAGGAAGCTGAGGTAGGATGATCACAAGTTCAAAGCCAATCTCAGCAATTTAGTGAAGCCTCAGGCAAATTAAGGAGAACCTGTCTCAAAGTGAAAAATATAAAGGGTTGGGGATATGGCTCAGTGGTTAAGCACCCCTGAGTTCAATCCCTGGTACCATTAAAAAAAAAAAAGTACTTGTTTTCTGATTCTTAAGAAAGAAAATCATTTTGATATATATTATTTCTTCTTTTTTAATAAAGGGATAGAATGGGTTCTGCACTAATGATTGAAACAGCAAGAAACCCTACATGTCCTAAGGTAAGTGTAGTGTATTATCTTAAATAATACCCATTTCTAACAAGGTCTGACAAAAGCAGTTATTCTGAGGGCTCTTTTGTTAAGGAGAAAAATTCTAAGAAATTTCTGCTAATAGATTTTATTCTTCTATGATGATCTAGGATGTGATGATTAGATCTTTTGTATATCTAGTAAAAGTATTACAAAGGTTTAAAAACATGAAAGTCAGAGACTAAAAATAAGGAAGAATTATTTTATAATAATTATTTTAATCAAATTTAGGGAAGTTATAGCATTTCCTCCCCTAGATTTTAAAGAAAAAAAATCTATATATCATATATAAGCTCAGTATAGCTCCCCATTTATTTATTTGAAGTTCAATGACCTGAGTATTACTTGAGTTTGTTTTCTTTAATAATACTTGTTTGATTAAGGAATATAATTTATATGCCTAAGAATCCCATGCAGCTTATATGCATTCTCAGATAACAAGCTGTAATAAGAAAAGTCCAATAGATACAGCTCCTCTGTTGCTCTTGAACTCTGGTCTTTCATGCTTTCCTTCATTGTGCAGTTATCAACTATGTGCCCATTGTGGTAGCACTGTGCTGGGCACTTTGGATGTATTCATAAGCAACCATAGTCATGGAGTTTATAGTCCAGTAGAGCAGTTTAGCTATTCATTCAATAATCACGCAGATGAGATATATTTTTTTCTGAAATAAAATCTGTAGAACACAGAAACAGTTTTCTGAAAGCACACATTTAAAGGGATGTAAAAGAAGGGCTACTTTGAGATCTTAATGTGAAGGCTGATGAGTAGGAGCATTTCTGGCAAAGAGACAAAGGGAATGAGCTGTGCAGGAAGAGTCATAGACAATTCCAAGAACTGAAAGAGTTCCTGAAGACTACAGCCCAGGAACCCAAGGGTAGCATGTGCGGATAAGGCTGGCACAGTAGGCAGAACAGACTGTGTACAGGGCCTTATAGGCTGTGATAGCTCTTTTGGAGAGGATCCTGGGATGAACTCTATGCCTCTTGCTTCTTTCCCTGTATCTTCAGGGCTCCATTTCTATTCCACAGAAGTTGTTGACTTTGAATAAAAGAATAGACTGAATAGAAGGAAACTTTAGCCATATTAAAAAGTGCTTCATTATGATAAAGGCAGCAGTCATCTATACATGTTTTAATCCAGTTTTACCTATAATATTTAGAGAAAGACCCTCTGATCTTAAGTGCATGACCAACTCTTAACCATAGCAACCTAGAGACAGAGTTGGATTACTTATCGGAATTCAGGCTATGACTTGTTTATTAAATAGCAAAGCAGATGGGTCCTTGGCAGGGCTTGGCATAGGACACTAAAAACTTTGGCCTTGGTATATTTCTGCTTATTAAGTTTGTATTGCAGATCATCATACAACATATTTTACATACATTCAATGTACAGCCATAAAATCTGAGACATGTAGTGATTGGTGTTAGAGTTTTTTAATAAAAATTATCAGCTACCAAGTTTTAATAACAAATAAAAGCCCTAGGAGTTTGTGTAGTGTTGTTTCAGCTTTACCAAAGTCATAATGCTTTCAAAGAGCACAAAAACAAAGACTAAACTTGTAAATAATATTGTGAAAATAGTGTACTTATTTATCTTTAAGTAGTTTTTATTAATTGTTAACTTCTGCTATGCCAATTAACACATAAAAATCGAGAAGTGTATGCCTTCTTGAATGTCTTTAAGTCAAATCCAATTATATAGTCAAAGATATTTTTTGTTATTATTCTAATACAATTCTCAGAATGGTCTCAGTTCTTACATCTATTGTGCCATAAAGAAATATCTAATTTAAAATTTTTGCTGAACTTTAAATTTATGCCACACATTGATCTTTTGGAGAGTTGTAGATTGTTCATTCATACTACTCAATAGTATTTAACTTATAGATGCCAAATATTGCTGCTTACAGTGGTATTGTCACTTTTTATTTCACTAGGTAGCTGCTGTAAGTACCATAGTAAACAGAGGGATAACGCCAAAAGCCTTTGTGTTCAGAAACTATGGTCATTTTCCTGGAATCAACTCTCATTATTTGGGAGGCTGTCAGTATAAAATGTGGCAAGCCATTCGAGCCTCATCAGCAGCTCCAGGCTACTTTGCAGAATATGCATTGGGAAATGATCTTCATCAAGTAAGTTGACTTGTATGGCTATCTTTTATAATTTTACATGATTAAAACAATCAGCATTTATTAACTGTCTCTGAACTTTGTAAGACTCAATCAAGATGACTTCTTAAGGTTTTTATATTTCAAAAGATGTGCAATTCATTATATTTTTGTCTGTCTTAAATTTATAAGTCTTCTGCCTTGAATGTATAATTTAGGAAAATTTTGAAATATTCTATACAGTGTGGTTTAAAGCCAATTATGATAATTTTATTGATGAAAAATGTGGCAGTATGTAGCTTTTCAAACATGAAATTAAATATGAAATAGGTTCCAGCAAATGCAAAACCCAGTCTGACAATTTTGGAGAGTATAGTTTGGAGGATACTTAAACATTTATTAAGTTAGCTATGTACCAGACACTTGTTTAATTTTTTTACATGATTGTCTCATTTAATCATTACTACTTATGAGACAACTATTTCCATTTTACAAGTAAGGAATTGGGGTCTTAAGAAAGGCTAAGTAATTAGAGTCACAACTATTCAGTGACAGGATACTATCTATAATTATAGTTTTAAATTTAAGTTATTTGTAGAGATAAGTATTGTTTCTGGTCATTCTTTTTGTGTAGTCTCATGTACTTAATTTCTTTCTGTCAGGTGTTTCCCACTATTTGTGGGATGCTTAAGTTTTTTGTTTTTGTTGTTGTTTTTTTTTTTTTTTTTTTTTTTTTTTGGTAACAGGGATTGAACCCAAGGGCACTTAACTACTGAGCCACATCCCCAGTCCTTTTTATTTTTAATGTTGACACAGGGTTTTGCTAAGTTGCTTAGGATCTTGCTAAGATGGTGAGGCTGGGTTTGAATTTGTGTTCCTCCTGTCTCAGCCTCCTGAGCTTCTGTAATTACAGGCATGTGCCACCACACCTGGCTTGGAATACTTACTTTATAATTTGTACCTAAAAGATAAAAAATAAAACCAATAGCTTTTAAGATGGTAATTTTTATATGATGTCCCACTTAAAATTAGCCTCATTATATAGTCTATAATCTTAACTTTCCTCTCTAGTTACTGAAGTTTGCGTGTTCTCTTTACTTAGTAATTACCTATCTCTTGGAAAAAAGTCTTAATATTACTGACAAGGATTTTCAGGTAGCATTACTATACTTGGATCTTTATGAACTATATATTGGCTATAAAGCTTTGAAATTTCTAATGCATAATTCTAATTTACATGTGTTATTAATAACTGAAATTTTTTTATCAATTTTATTTTCTCCTATGTTTTGATAGAATAGCTTAGATATATTCTAAAATTTTATGGTCAATGATCCTATTTTCTTTTTAATTTTTCTGAGAGTAATATCATAATCTTTGTAGTAAAGACATTAAAATAGGATTTCTTTTAAGAGTCACTTCAAACCACTTCTTACTTGGTCAAATCTGTCATTGTTGAATTATGTAAGGCACTTCCCTTCTTGCCTTTCTTTTTTTTCTTCCACCCCCTCAGGGCAGCAAGTGATGGCTATTGAATTTCTTTCTAACATAGATTTCAGGATTTATTGGTCACAGTAAATGTTGATTGTAATATGTAGCTTGCTGTCTTTAACAACAACTTCCCCCTTTCTTATTTTATTCTTGCCATATCACAAGTGGAAAAATAATTTAGACAATGTATTTAAAATACACAGAAGTTATAGCTGTAAGATGGTCATTATGGTAAGACTTCTCAGTTACACCAAATATCAGCAAGAATTTCAAGTAATAAATTTGGATACCTGCATTTTGGGACCAAACGTTTTCAGATTTCAAAAGAAGTTATCTCACTCAGCTGGGTGGTGCATGCCTGTAATCCCAGCAGTTTGGGAGGCTTAGGAAGGAGGATCTCAACTTGAAAGCCATCCTAAGCAATTAAGGGAGGCTTAAGCAACTAAGTGAGATCCTGTCTCTAAATAAAATATTTTTAAAAGGCTGAGAGTGTGTCTCAGTGGTTAAGTGCCCCTAGGTTCAATCCCTAGTTAAAAAAAAAAAAGAAGTCATCTCACTTGCTCTCTTTATTGCTGAAGGAAAAGTAGTTCAGATGTTTAATTCAGTCTTTCTTGCATATGTGGGTTTGTATGTGTGTGTAACAAAATAACTCAGTGGATCTTTTTCTATATCAGATAGACTAGTGATATTTCTTTTCATGCTTCACCATTTTTATTTTTTAACTTTTTTATATCTATTTATTTATTTTTTATGTGGTGCTGAGGATCGAACCCAGTGCCTCACATGTGCGAAGCAAGCGCTCTGCCACTGAGCCATAGCCCCAGCCCTGTAATTTTTATATTGATGAGCAAACCTTTCAGTTTATTTTGAACTACATATTTTAAAAATTGCTTAAATAAATTTTTGTAAAATACATAACCACGTGGATAGAGGTTATACTTTACACTTTCATGTAAATCTTTAGCATCCAGAAAAATTGGCACACTTATTATACATTCCAATGAAATCTGAATCTAAACAACCTATTTAATAGTTTTCTTATTATACATTCTCTTCTTCCAAGAGGAAGAAGACATAGGGTATATTTCCCCTTAAAAGACAACTAAAAAGATTGATAAGAACATTCTAAGCTAGGCGTGGTGGAGCATGCCTTAATTCCAGCTACTCAGGATGTGAGGCAGGATTACAAGGTTCAGGCCAGCCTGAGAAATATAGTAAGATATCTCAGTTTCATTAAGAACTATGGGTTAGTTCAGTGGTAGTACACTTGTCTACCATGCATGAGGCCCTGGGTTCAGTCACCAGTACTGAAAGAAAATAAATGAATATTCTGAAGTGTGAGTGATCATGATTGCTTAAACAAAGAAAAAATTCAAGCAGAGTTCCTGCCTCATTCTGATCTTTAGAAGTTTTCAAAGTTAAAATTAAAACACAATACTTACTACAACCTTCCTATTCTAAAACTTTTGAATAATTATATTCAATTATTTCTAGTCTCATTTTTAAAATCCCTTTTAACTGTCATGTCTGACATATGTCTTATTTTAAGTTACTTTATATCCTTTTTGGAGCCTCGTAGAATATAAATTATAGGTTAATATTCTATTTGAGCAGTTATTGAAAGTAGTGCTATAATTAAGAGGTATGAGTAGATGGATGGGAAGATTTCATTTTCTTTTGACTATAAAAAGAAGAATATTATTATAGTACTTATAAAGTGTGTTACATGTTCTAGAAAATGGTAGAGTAGGAAGAATTCTTTTTGAATAGGCTCCAGTTACTCCTGCCTGCCAAGTAGTAGCATATTTTTCTTGAAATTGTATTTTTTTACACAAAATTATCCCATATCTCTTTATCTTTTTTTATCTCTACCTCCAAGATTAAATTGTTCATTCCTTATCTTTATAGGAAGAATCTGATACATTGACTTATGCTAAAGA